TCCATTTTTTAGATCCCATCGGGGGTCTGGGAAGCTTGTCGGACCACCGGTTCCTCTTTGAGCTGTCTGACTCCATGTAATGCCTGGGGGCTCTGAGGCATGACCTCTTGCACTGCACCAGCTTGCACGCAGACCGTGACTGCGTCGCGGTCACTGGATGCTAGGTGTCTGAGTTGGTGTACCCTACCCCGGCCTCTCTCCTGGATTCCCCCAAGGAAAACATAGTCAAGGCGTCTCGGTTGGTGGAGGTGATTGTAAGTCGGGGTTGCTATATCCTGGGACGGTGCTTGCATATCCTGCTCCCCAAGCCATTGCAGCAGCATGGCTCCCCTGGCCGTTTTGTGGTGCAGAGTCGCCCACTCCTCTCTACTGGCTTCCCCTTGCAGGAATGTCTCACTGAGGTCTCCCATGAACAACTGCGTTGCTGCTTCATGGCCCTCGTGTCTTCCTAGGCAGTCATGTGTTTGCCCGTCTCCGCCAAGGTTGCTTTCGGTGGAAGGTGAACATTCAGCACCCCGCCACGAGCAGTTCTGACTACGACCCCAAGGGCATCATCTGCAAGTTCTTTGTGGACGATCTTCCCGAAGCTTTCCCGGATCGCAATCATTCTGCCTCTCCACTCTGATCTCTGTTTCCCCGCCACGATATGCCACCTCTCTTTACCTTTGCCGCTTGCCCGTTTCGACTTCCATCACTCTCGGCGGGCACGATACTTCCTGGAAAGCTAACACTTCCACTTGTCTCAGTCCAACTGGGAGTAGTTGCACCATTTCCGTCATCCTCTCCGTAGGCATCCCCCCCACATTCCATGTCATTGCTTGCACTTCCCTGACTTGCTCTCTGCGCCGTGCTTCTTGCCTCTGCCGGTCAGCTGCCCCTTCCTTCCCTGCTGCGAATGTCATACCCTGGTTGCCTCCGATGCGAGGGTTTTCTTCTGCGCCTTCGCTGGTTCGGTCTGGTTCGCCTGTGCCTCTGTGATTCCCCTCTCTCTCTGGTCAAGTCGAGCTCCAACTGACATGTCTCCATTCCTCTTTCTGTGTCATGGTGGGATCGGTTGGTTGACATGCATGCGCTGGTCGAAAAACCATCAGTGTCCGGGCCTGCCACAAGCGGTGCTGCCAGGGCTGTCTGCCGGGCCCGCCACTTGTTGCAGGTGCTGCGTCTCTGTACCACGCGGAGATTGTGCCCTCGATTCTTCCATCATTTTACGACGGATACTGCGCGGCACATCATCCAGCGGATCATAGGGTTGCGCAGGCAACACCTCAGGTGTGCGCGTAGACTGGTGCGGTTGCGGCAGTCGCACTGTCTCAGTGGCTGCCACTCTGTGCGGTAGGGGCGCTGCGCCTTGGGGCTCCAACCCCGGGCTTTGCGCTATGTTCCTCAAAACTTGCATTCCTAATTGATCAGGGCCTTCGGCAGCACTCAGTGCCTCCATAGCCTCGGTGTCAGCGGGCGAGGCCTCATCTCAGCCAATGGCGTCCACGAGACTGCGCCAGCGGTCTGCAAAGGCCTGTGTCGTCTCTTTTGTGTGTTCGCAGGCCGACCCCGCGTCCACCCATCCGTGATCACAGACAAGGATGTCGCCGTTGGCCGGTTGCTGGGAGCAGCCCCCAATCCTTTTGCCATTCACCATGATCATGCCTTTGCGGTAATCGGCTTTGACCTCGATGTCCGCCTGGGAGCCGCCCTAGCTTTTTCGTAACTCTCAAGGACAGCTCGCTGGTTTTGGCCAGGTTGCCTTCCTCCTGACTTCCGCTGGCTGGGACACCGCAGCCCAGACAAGCATGGCTTTGCCCTCCTTATCCACATGGCCGGACGCCGCCCGCAGTCTCCTGCTAGCCTCCACGGCCTCAATCGCTCTCCTCATCATCGCTTGCCTGGTCTCGGTCCCCAGGGGTGCCAGTGGTATCACTGCAAACCCTCGCTGTTGTCCCGGGACGAAAGCTTCCTGTGACGGAAGTGGCAGCGCCCTTTCCCGTATGAAGCTCTTGACTGCTTGCAGGGTTTGGTCCGCGTCCTTGTCCTCCTTCCAGCCTCCAATGATGACCGCGGGCTCTCGGTCTTCTTCCGGGGAGAGCATTGCCGGTCTTCTCCACACCGCTGGCTGTCCAGCCCTCCCTTCTTTCTCCAGTGCTTCCAGCCGGCGTAGCACATCCTGAATGGTGGCTTCCTGGTCCTGCGACTTCTGAGTCTGCGTGTCAATCTTTTGGCTGGATCCCCATTGTTTTCTGGCGCTGGTCCATCATGCCTTGGGTCACTGGCGCCAGGGTGGCCGCCAGCTGGGCCGTGAGCTGCTCGGCACTGTTGCCGCTGGTGCTGTCGCGGGCGGACCAATGTCCCATCTCGTTCTCTTACTGGGAGAATCTCCGTTGCCAACTGTCCCTGGATGGTTGCTGAGGTTCTCCACGTCCACTTCCACAGTCTCCACCGGGGTGGCTACGGCCCCGTCTGTGTGCGTCCGCCGCCTCCTGGTCGGAGCCTCCAGCAGCAGCGGCCGCCGGGGAGCCCCAGCCTTCAGCTTCAGGTCGCAAAGTATTTCGGCGGCAGGAGACTTGAGCCAAAATGGCTACCTCTCTCTCTCTCTCTCACTCTCTCTCACGAACGAGCTCCCTCACTCGCTCTCTGTCTTTCTCCCTCACGAACTCCGTCAAGCATTCACTTCACACTCGCTCACGAGCTCGGTGATTCCGTCACGCCTCTCTCTCTCTCTCTCCCTCTCACTGACTTTGTCGCTGACTCGCTCGCTACCGACGCAGGCACGCACGCAGGCACAAAAAAGGCACGCTGCCAATTTCCCAAACAAACACAACCTTATGACATTTCTTCGGTTGGCCACCCTAGCAGGGCTAAGCGTGAGCTGCCTAGAACAACCGGTCAAATTTGCTGGAGGTCTCCTGCAACCCCGCAAGAAGCATCTACAACTACAAGCCTGGCTAAGCAATCCGACTTCCCATGAGTTTCGATGGCTCAGCAGGGCTAAGCGCCAACTGCCAAGACGTGGGAAGGAGCAGCAGCATGGGTTTTGTAAGAAGGCACCAGGAAGTTTCTAACTCCTTCGTTTTCAAGGGAGCATGTTCACTGCTATATTCATAAGGCATGCCAGAGCAGCGCGGAGGGTCGTTCAGCGCATGTTTCGTGCCCCGGAAGTGTACATCCTGCTCACACAAGATCTCAGATCATGGACTGATTTTGTTCATTCCTTCATGTACTGATGTGTTCGTTCATTCGTTCAGTCGTTCGCTCAAGCATTCCTGTGTTCACGGCATGCGATGTCCTCTGTCTTCATCCGCGTGGACGTTCTTCTTACGATTTCCCCGCTCTCACTTCTTCTTCTTCTCTCCCCAAACTCTTCTGCCCTGGCTGCCTGACTTATACAGTCGCAATCGGTGCAGAGACCTGGACATTCATCCGTTTCAGCCTGGTCAACCAGGCCTGACTGAGCTATCAGGACCGCCACGTCTTTCATCACCGCTTGCTGCACGGCTTCGCCCAACTCGGAAACGCGCATTGGCATGGCAGCGAAGCGGGAGGGCAGATGCAACAGTCAAAGCTTGAGAGGTCTGGCAAAGACGGACACATTCGGTCCTTGCCTATGCCGTGCAGATCCTTCTCTGGCTAGCAATCCTCTAGTGTGTGTTTTTGCGAGTATGTCTGCTGTCTTCCTTGTTTTGCAAGATCCATATTAGTCAACGCCCAAATGGCCATGTAGCATATGCCTCAGGCTGACAATGACGGCGTACTTCAGGGTCGAAGTACTGTTTCTGATAGTTAGGCACTCGCATGCCGGGCATCCACTTTTGAGCCTGCATGCTCCCTTTAGGAGAAACTCTGCATTCCTTGCTGCCGACTCATCGGCTGCTCAAGCCCTTCATCTGAATGAACCTCATCAATTTTGGCACTTGCAGTTTGCAAGCTTACCGCTTTAGCCTGCTGCCTCGAAAGTACCGTGGCTCAGGCTGCATGAAGTCATCAAAGCTGAGCTCTCCGTCGCCGTCGATATCGGCCTCGGATAGGTCCAGGTATCTCCGCAACCAACGGAGCTATAAACCGCTGAGGGCCTCTTTGATCATCTCTTCGATCTCCTCATTGGTGACCTGCGGAATCACTTCAACTGCTGGCAGCTCCAGTGTTGCTGCCGAAAGCCTTCTCACCAAGGCTGTTCATGACGTGCTTCAGTTCACTGGGTGTGACTTTGCCGCCTCGGTATTCGGTATGGCATGGAAGCACCGTACGGCCAAGTTTCTCCGTGACCAGAAGCAGTCTGAGTCTGACGTCTAGGTCGAGCTGCTCTTGTCGCGGTCGAAGACCATGAAAGCCTCGTGCATCTCCTGCAGGTCAAGCTATTGCTGGGGAGTGTCAACATCAGACGTATCCAACAGCCCTCTTTGCAGCTCACGGAACGAATGAAATACCACATACCGAGCTGGGAGCCTCCGCCGAGTCCAAATCATGAAGCTTGGCTGCCATCAACTTTAAGAACCTGAAAGCTCAGACATGCGATCCCCAGGCCCATTTCTGAATACCTGGGAAGCGGACTCGGGGAACTCGATGGTCCCGCTGCCGTCCTGTGGCTTGGCTTCATGCCAGGGCATTGCAGCATGCAGCATGCAGCAGTGCAGCAGCAGCCTCGTCGGCTTCTCCGACCATGGCCTTCAGTTCCTCTGCAGTCCTAAGCAGCCCCCTAACCCCCCGAGCGAAAAATTTCACTTCATGGACGTCTCTCGGGCGCCCCGGCGGCTTGCGACCCAAGGCCTTCAGCACCACCCCCAGCTCATCTCCAGAGATGCGGCCATCGCCGTCCTTCGCCAGAGCCATTCTGGCAAATTCGCCTGGACGCACCTTTTGCCGTAAGCCTGGGCCTTGACCCTCCCGGCCTTGTCAAACAGCCCGAAAGCTTCTTGGAACTCCTCCACCTGTGCCTCGAAAGAATCAAACGCAGTTTCCTGGCTCCTGCAACTCGCGAAGCCTCGGTGAGTGAGATGGCTTTGCTCTGCAGGTCCACCTGCAATGCGGTTCAACTGGTATTCACTTTCAATCCACATTCAGCCTGAGCAATGCACCGGCTTCTTGTCCATACCGCTGCTGGTTAGCGGGGATGGAACATGTCACATGGCAAGTGCCGCTGTGCTTGTATTCAGTCAGCCCAGTGACTTCTGTGGTTTTGCCCGTCGCTGTGCCACCATGTCAAGTTCTCTCATGTATACATGGGCTGTTGAATATTGTTGAATGAAATCACCAGACGCACTGTTTGAACAGGCAAGCACCTTCGCTCTTCGGGGTACCAACTTGGCGCAAGTACAGAGATTGCGAGAATGTACTTAAAAAAGCCGTGTTGCTGATTCTTGCACTGCTTTTTGTTTGGCCAGGAGGGCGGGGAGCCGTAGTCATTCCGCCGGTCTCGGGCACGAAGTCGTGCTGGAAGTTGCAACTATCAGAGAGAAGGCGCTGAAGCTGCTGAGGTGGTCCTGTTACTTTCCTTGGAAAGGCTTTGGAGATGACTTCAGAGCCCGGAGGAAAGGAGTGCCTGGCGAAGTCCTTCGACGTCCCCATCCAGGGAAAGTCCCTAAGGCAACCCACAGATACCCACAGCATGCGCCAATCAATGAGGCACATGTCCCGAGTCCCCAGAGTCTGGAGCCTGGTGAATACCCAAACCATCTCCTCAAGGTGGTTGCAACCAGCGGGCTCCTCAAGGCCAGAACTCTTATGAACCTCATGAACCAGGTTGCAAGATTGATTCCAAGCCTCCGCAGAACGGATCAAACGAGCAGCGCCCTCCTCAATCCTTGCTTCTTGTCGTCTACGTCTCAAGATAGAGGTACATAGAGTCAAAGTCTCGATCACAAACTCGGCCGGCAGCCGACATATCCGCACAGCAGCAGGACCAAAGCACACTCAGCCACGTGCACCACGTGGCCTAGCAAACAGGGGCTGCGAACTGCTCAACCGCAAGCCCAGGCGTGCCTGGTTCATCTCTTCCCGAGCCTTCTTCAAGGCCTTCTGCTTGGACCTCTTTTGGCGCTCCTCCTCCAGCTGCCTCTGCTCATGAATCTTCTGCAGCAGGGTCGTCAGGTGCTGCTTGTTCGGCTGAGTCATGGCGCACGGACACAGAAACCTCTGAATCAATGAGTGTACAAACAGCTTGCATCTGACGTTTTGATTCTGCGTAGCTGCTCTAACTGTAGAAAGTGCCCGGGACAAAGGTACAGAAAGCTCGGAAACATGCCTCCCCCCTTCCGGACACAGCTCTTCATTCACTCTTTTCGACGGGGTTCGAAGCGACTCTCAGGCACTTCGAATTGGCTGCAAGCATCGCTGATAACAAATGTGACAATGTGACAGCGTCTCCAGCTGAAGAGTTTCATGAAGTTGCCTGCTCTCTGAAGTCTATGAGTCCTTTTAATCTGGAGCAGTCCTTCTAAGTCTAAAGATTCCACCGGGACCGATCCCGAAGTTTCGTTCTTCGTCTTGCAACCGCGCTTCTGCAAGGAAGGCATATTGAGGCTACTTCAACCTTGCTAAGAGCTTGTGGCCCCTTTCTGCAATCGACCTCGTTGCACAAGACAAGGCGCCAAGGCTTGTCGATTAAGCGTTTGCACTGCATCTACGCTGAGTCGTTGTAATTTTGGAGCCAGTCTCGTACGTCGAGGAGGGTAGTTCGAGCTAACTCCGACTAGGCAAGCCTCCCACATCTTGAGAAAAAGAAGACGCTAAAGAACCAGAATTGCTGGCAACATGCCGGGCGGTAAATACTCTGGGCATCTTTGAGCAGTCTGTGCGATGTTGCTCAAGATGGGTCTGCTCAGGCAGCTGCGGAACTGGATCAGCCAATCGGCTTTCCCCAGGAGGGCTGTCCTGGCCGAGGAAACACTCCTCCCTGCGAACGGAAGCGAACGGAACAACTTAGCTACTTTCCACATGCGCAAAAGAAGCTTGTAAGGATGCTCGATGCAAAAGTGCAAAAGCTGCGTCCATCCTGCACAAGCCTGCACAGGCCGTCTGCTTAGACTCGCCGCGGCTTCCGAGTGTCCAACGCCTCAGAAAGCGGCGTGGTGAAAAGCGAGCACGGAACTTTGGACTTTGCTGCCTTCTTAGCGCGGTCCTGAGGAGGCCTGGCCAAGGGGATTCGGATTCCGTCACTTGTCATCTGCGGCCTATCTCTTTTCGAAGGCCTCAGCGTCGCCACGCCGCGAGGCGGGCCTGAGTGCAGGCTCAAAGGACAAGCCATCAGCTTAAAGCACATTGCTCTGAGGTATCTACTGGCACCCTCATCTTCGGAAGACGCGTCCTGCTCACAAGCCAAGGAACGTCAGCCATGCCCTGCCTTAGCAAACCAACCCTAATTGCATTGTGCTTTGCCTTTCTGGACGGAGGGAGCAGCGTTGCTCGCGGCTCGCCGTCCTGCAGTCGGCGGCTCAAAGGGTATGATTTCGACACCATTTCTCATCTTCAGATTGAGGGCCCTATGGCAAATTCAGTCTTGGGGCCACACTGGCGTCGGCAGCACAGAGTGGCGCAGACGTGGTTGGTGGTCATCGTACAAGCAGGACAAAGAAGGAACAAGAGAAACGAAAACTTCTCTTTTTTAGAGTTGAACAAAACAGCGTAACAGGTGGTCTCTCGCTAAACCGCGCCGTAGCTGCACGCCCAAGACCCCGACTGGCCTTGCGTGAAATGGCCTTTCTTCATTTGATGTCCCTTTCTTCCCCCTCGCCCACCGTTCCTGCTGCCTCTCCTCAGTCATCCCAACTCCTCATACGTTGCTGGCTCGGTCCCAAGCCTCCGTGTTTTCTTTGGGCGGCGCTTGCAGCGCTGGCATGACTGCGGTTTCAAGCATGCTGAGTGGCCAGGAAGACAGGCGGGTGGGCCTGATGAAACCTGCTCAAAGCTTGGTCAAGAACCAAAAGACAATCGTGAATCCCTCCACACAATAGCCCACTCCGTGGGAAATCTGGAGCCTTGCCCTGGGGACAGGGTGGAGGGAGGTCGGGAAGGATGGAGAGAGTCGGGGCATGGCTGCATTAATGCTTGCGAGCGGAAGAAGGCAAGCTTTGCAGGCAGTGATTGAGGCCCATCCAGAACAAGACCCGGAGAGAGATAGAGGAAAGCCATGAGGACGTACCCGAATGACGATGGCTATGGGCGGCAAGTATGCCACACGTAGGCGGAGAGCAAACAGGTGCAAGCATGTCGTATCTCTGTATTTATGCAGCCTTTGCACTAGAATCCTGTTGGCCCAAAGAGCTAATCCCCCCTGTCTGGAAGAGAAGTCATCCGACAGAGCAAGCATGAAGCCAGCACAGGAGGCTTCTCCGTGTATGTCACATGGTTATATTTGTCAGTGGCACCCGGCGACAGCCGGCTTAAACTAACGCCAAGATTGCAAGTAGGCATGTGATGCAACTACCCAGCAGAGCCTAGCCGAGTTGCAAAGAAATCAGGTGAAAAAACTGCGGCCAGCCTTGGTCCCTCTTCCAGCTGGTGCCCGCTTGCCCGGGCAGAGTTGAGCACGCAGGACCCTGGCAGCGGCGCAGGTCCAGCGAGTGTGCGGATGTAGGGATGCGCGCAACAAGATCCTACATCAGATTCGATCCGATTTAAACGGAAAACGGAAGGTTCCAAAGCACTATAGTCTGCCATCCCACTCCATGTTGGTGATTCCTTCGTCCTCCGTCTTCCTACGACCCACACGGCCCTACGCACTTGCCGCACTTGCCGTGTCACTGGCACCTGCGCAGCAGCTCCTGACCATCCCGAGCTTGGGGTGGGCGTCGAGCCTTGGCCGACACTTGGAGAAAGGCAGGCAGCCCTGAGGTGAGCATTTACAGGAGCAAAGACCCTGGTCCTAGTGCCCTAGTTACAGGAATGATGTCCTCTGTGCCAAGAACACCGAGCTTCAGCACTGAGGCCACCACCGCTTCCTGGGCAGGCTGTCGCCACCGCGCCTGAAAGACGTAAAGCTCTCACCCTTCCTCGGGCCCTCAGAGTCCAACCCGCAGCTTGAACCAAGCAAAGATTGGGACAGCCCACACAAAGACAGCTAGATACAGCCAGCAAAGTTGAGGTAAATTTTCGAATTGAGAGGCCCTCCGTGTAGCCTCATCGGAGCGCTTGTCGTCATCGCTGCGACATACCCTGAAGCAAACTGACTCGGCAGCAGCAAAAGCGTCTACAGGTCCTTGCTTTTGTCTCCTTCTCCCATGCAAGGACATTGGAACCCCACGCATGCCCCTCTCAGGCACTGACGCTGCGCGCGTGAGGCTCACAGCCGGGGCTAGGCGAAGCATGGTCACAGGGTCATACTCTCTGAGGTGTTACAGCGCCTCGCGGCGGCTCCGTCGGAACCTGGAGGAGCGTAGCAGGCTGATTCATAATTGAGGCCGGGCAGGCCGCGTCTGTGTCCAGCTGAAGCCAATGAGACATAATGAGGCATTGGCAGTCAACGCGTTGGCGGCCCGCTTCTTGGGCGGTGCCTCCTGGCGAAGTCAACAGAGGTGATCAAAGCTCTACAAAATTGGTAATTGAAGTGGATTGGTTTGGGTTTTGGCTTTGCTTTGGCTCAGCGGAACCTCGCTTCGTGCAGACGGCGAAGTGTCGCGGGAACGAGAGCGCTCCGCCTTCGTTCTTCGCCGTCCCGGCTGAGAGAGCACGTGCATGATATCCGTTCCAGCCTTCCGCTTTGGGGGCGGCGAGACCTGGCGGTGCTTGCAGCGACCCCTTTGCCCACCTCCGTAAGAAATGAAAGGAAGGGGCCTCTTTCTCATCCTTCCTCCGCCTTGGCATTGGACAGAATCACAACAACATACAGAGCTCTTCTGGCACGCACAGTGCAATGTGACTCTGTGTTTCTGGTTTTCGTTTGGCCGAGCTGCTTCGGCTCCCATCTCTCGGGCTCCTTGCGCGGGACGAGCTTTGGATCCTGCGCGGAGCAGCTCCCAAGCAGCTCCCCAGGCCCCAGCTCTCAGCTCCGAATTTACAAATACGCCCATGTTGTGTATTTAAGGCATGTTCTCCCATTGCCCATGTCCGCGTTGCGTTTGTTCTCCGCAGACTTCTTGTTCTTGTTCTTTTTCTT